AGGGCTGAAAGCCCTATGAAGCGGTATATAAGTCTAACTGCTATTGCTATTGCTATTCAAATCTACCCTAGCAAGTTTTAGGCTTATTGGTTCATCCAATCATTCTTGGCTTCGGCTTGTAAGGATTCTCCAACACCCACTTTGAAATATTTTAATTATTGCTATGTTTCATCTCAGCATTGAATAAGAATCACTGATGGCTCCACTGGTGGGAAGTGAAGCTGAATCAGGAATAAAGTCAAAGTGGGCTTCTCAGGGGCAGGAAGAAGCATAAAAGAAATCCCCACGCAGCCATGTCCATTTAAGAGGGAAGAGAGAGCTTGTCAAATGATCAGGTAACGCTGCATTTTTAGAAACTAGAGTAGGACTCAGCAAATCTGTCAATTCTGGTTTTTCTCTTTTACAAAACTGTCAAATCTACTGTATACCCCTTCTCCATTGCTTTGATATTATTCTTTTAAGTTCTCATTAAATTGTGTATGTGCTTATATGCACATTTTAACATTCATGTTTTCCTGTTTCTCTAAAGTATTTTTTTGCAAGCAAATTTCCTTGATACAATGCAGTTTCACCAATGTACTCTGGGGTATTTTTCCTTACAAACATCTTTTAAATTACTAGATGCAATACAGAACACTGACAAATGATAAGTATTGGTATGAATGTAGAATATCAGATAAGCGACTCCAAATATGAACCAAACAAATCTTCTACCCAGCACTATATGAAGCTTTTTCTAATTATGTAACAGGTTATTGTGGACTAAAGTAATCTAATTATAGATGTGTATTTGTGCCCTCCATACATGCAACAAAGGAATAATAAACAAGAAATCTGGGATTGCTAGATTCAACTATCTTGATGGGTTTCTTCCATATTTAAATAATATTTTTTTTAATTTCTCCACCAAGAAATCTTAAGTCATTTCACTTTTGCATCCTTCAAGGTTTTCCTACAGTGCCCAAACCTCGTCTGTTTGAGTACAGACCAGGAAAAATATTCCAACTGTTACAACAGCATGACTTAACTTAGTCTTACTTTCTATGTCCAAAACTATTTTCATTGATCATATGTCATAGAAAGAGCTTTAATAGACTATATCTTTCCCATATCTAATATGCCTGCTTCTGGATTTATTTAAATATGGCAAAGAAGAAACAATTTGTACTCAAATAAATTATTCTTCTCTAGCATGAGCAAGTCTGTGTGAGGAACCAGTTCAATTGGCACATTATGACAGTAACGAGAAAAATATTCTGCTATGTCTTCTTGTAAATTGAAGAGATAAGACTCCAGCAGGGAACATAACACTATCAATACTAATTGCATGTAATTATACACTGAGACAGAAGCATTAAACAATGACTGCCACAATATTCAAATTTTACCTTTTTAATATGGGAATTTCTTCAACGTGAAATATTCCCAGATGTTCCCAAGTTTGTAGCACAGATTTACAAATGAAAGTGTTTAGTGTGAGGGAAGGGATTGAGGAAAAGAACAAAGAACTGCTAAAAGAGCTGGGGAACACGGAATGAAAATATCAAAGCTGGATGGCCCTCCTTTGTCTCAAAGAAAACCTGGGGATTTGGGAGGTGTGAATTTGAATAGCAACCATTTAATATGCACCTCCCAGATTACTGTAAGGCTTGGATGTGCCAAAAAAGTGTCCTACACTTCTCTTGTCTCGACATTTCTCTTTTTCTGATTCTCTTTTGATGTTCTTTCAAATTTTACCTGTTTTGCCTGTTTTCTAGCTTCCTCTGCTGCATTTATTGTACTGTTGATCTAAAGCAACACATTGCTGAGTCCCTTAATAAGTAATATATGAGAAGAATCCCACATCTCAGTTCTTCATAGGAGTCTTTTTCCATAAAAATAATTTTAAAAATTTGATCAACAACTTAGAAATCAATGTATCAATACATTAGACACAGCCAAATTGTTTGCAATCTAAATAAAATCACGACATTGCCCGAAAGTATAATGGAATAAGTGTCCTTTAAGAAGTAAAATAATTAGTTTGCTTTGTATCATTCTTTCGATAAAAATATGTCAGCTTCACTGGTTACTGTTGAGGAGCATGTATACTACAGTAACTAGCAGTTAGACTTATATACCGCTTCATAGGGCTTTCAGCCCTCTCTAAGCGGTTTACAGAGTCGGCATATCGCCCCCACAGTCTGGGTCCTCATTTCACCACCTCGGAAGGATGGAAGGCTGAGTCAACCTTGAGCCGGTGAGATTTGAACCGCTGAACTGCAGATAACAGTCAGCTGAAGTGGCCTGCAGTACAGCACTCTAACCACTGTGCCACTCTCGTCATGACCTTTAATTGGACAAAATCAGGAAAAAAAAATTGAACCAAGATATCTCAAATGGCCTAATTTATAGAATGGGACCCAGGACACCCAATCCAATGAAATTTGGGGAACCTGTACCTGCTTCAGTGCTACTGGTGCTGGTAGACTCCTGATGCAGCACATAATCTTTATTTTCAAAATTCCATGACAGTTTCCCAGTCAATCTTGCAATCTCTCATGCTTTCCTCCACCCAGCAGTAGCCACTTGGTATTGGACCTGGGTACTTGAGAGACCGCCTGCTGCCAATTACCTCCAACAGACCTATTAGATCCCACAGACTAGGCCTCCTCCGAATTCCATCTACTGGCCAATGCCGATTGGCTACCACCCGGAGGAGGGCCTTCTCTGTGGCTGCTCCGGCCCTCTGGAACGAGCTCCCCGTGGAGATTCGGACCCTCACTACCCTCCAGGCTTTCCGCAAAGCCCTTAAAACCTGGCTGTTCCGACAGGCCTGGGCCTGATGGATTCCCCGCCCCCGCTCGAATTGTGTGGTTGTTGAGTGTTTTTTTAAATTGTTTGTAGTAGTTGTCCGTTGTTTTTCCCCCTGTTTTTATCCCCCCCCCCTTATTTTGGTTTGTGAGCCGCCCTGAGTCCCTCCGGGAATAGGGCGGCATAGAAATGCAAATAAATCAAATCAGTCAAATCAAATCACTTACCTTGGTCATTCTGTTTCTCTGCAGCTAGCCCTACAAGTGTTGTGAAACAGCTATGAAGAAAGGAGGCAATGCCTGCTCATGGAAACTAGCCTTGGATCCAAGGGCCTTACGGGTTAATTCCTCCTAATAGTAGCGCCAAAGCAATTAGGTGGCTAACACATTCCAGCAAATTAAATTTTAATGCATTAAAATTCTTAAACCCTACAAAATTAAAATTCAGATTGGTTCTCATTTACAAAAAGAGAAAGCATTGTTGATTTGTGTTTTGAAGCATTGTCAGGCATAATCCATCACTTTATTCCTCTAAGGGAGATGGGAAGAGAGAAAAATGCAGCAATGAAATCCTATTGTTTTATTAAGCTTATTTGTGGTGTTACTTTGAAAGTGTAAAGTTATAGTTATCTTGCCCTTTTCTGGATAAGTTTGAAATCATCAACTACTAGAAATCTTCTTCAACTCAAGCTTGATTTCATAAACATACTAAGGTTAAATTCTATTGTTCCACTTTTCAACTACCTTTTCTCCTCTTTAAATTTTCAATAATACTAAAAACTCTCCCAAGACATAAAATGCTTCTGACACTCAAGTTTGTCCTGCAACTAGATCTCAGAGAATTTATGTAGGTAGTGATGTTGTTTATGCCCTAAAACAGATTACAATAATACTATGAATTTTAAAATGTGGGAAAAGGCAGAAAATAGAAAACAGATAATGTGGCTATCCAGATATTTCTGAATCAGAACTAGCATGGGCAATCATGAGAGATGCTGAGAGTTGTATTATCAACAATACATAGAGGACCACAAACTCTCCCCCCTGGCTAATAAAATTCAGTGGAGCAACTTACAATATTATACCATTTAAAGATTTGT